GACAAAAACACGGTTTAAGGACTTTAAAAATCACTATAATTGCAGGGACCTTGATCATATTTAAGCCAAAAAATATGCTATTTCATAGAAGCTCCAATAGTTATGCTAGTTGATAGAGTTGGATAGACTAAGTACACAAAACATTGATGTTGAGTGGTTTGTTCTTTAATGTTTGCAACTAATCAAGTAAAGTATTGCTTTAATAAAGAAAATATAGGTTTAGGGTCAAGGAAGAGGGAAACAAGGGAAAGACATTTAACAATAATATGATGAGCCTATTTGCTAACATAATACACCTATTTATACTAATAACTAGATCAAGTACAAGTATCACTAGTACAATCTAAGGTACACTAAGAAAGAAACCAAGTAATCATATAAAATAAGGAAAATAATAAAGTTAAAAAGAGCTATTTGATTTGGAAAAGCATTTTATGTTTTCATTTTCAAAAGTGAGGAAATAGGGGAAACAAACTTTTTGTTGTGTTCTATTTTCATATTCACTTTCTCATATATGTAACTATTGAAAAATTGAAACCAAATAAACACATAAACATTCTCAAAACCAAACAATGCCCCAAAAAAAATCAGTAGACAACTCTATAATTGCTCGCTCAATTAGCTCACAATTCATACTCAAAAGATATTCCAAGACAATCTAACGACAAAGTAAATATTATCTAACACTCTCCTACAAACCAAGGCCGACAATGACAAATAAGTGAAATAACACAATCCATCTTCACCAAAAACACTCAACCGAACAGCCAGTATAAAGTGAGAAGAACAGAAAAGACAAAAAAATCCAATGTCCAAGAACAAAAGAAAATCCTATAATGAATCCGACTTTCAAACTTTCAACACCTTCACCCCTGATTGTTCCTTCCTGGAGAGCTACTAAGACACTGCTACTCATAAGGCCTGTTACACCCTGCTCATTCCTTTCAAGTAGGCTGCAACACTGCTGTTGCCAGAAACACTGTCTGCAACAGAAGTCTCCAAAATAATCATAATTTTAGAGATATTGGAATGTCCTCTGTAAAACCCAGAACTTACTAATTTTCACACAAAAGTAGACTCAGCTAAGAACCTGAACAAAACACGCCAAAGCATCAATCATCTTGCCAGAATGTCGTCTGGTCAAGCCAGAGGTCATTGCCCATGGACATTACCAAGGTGGTTTAAATATTTATTTTTGTATTAGGCACATTCTTATGAGTTTCCGCGTGGAATCAGAGCATATTTGTTTTTCTAAAATTTATTTGACCCCTAACATATTTGAAAGTGTTTGTCCTCTAAGCATATTTTAATTTTCTAAATTTTGTCACTTAAGTACTTGAACAGAGTACTTGAAGAAAAAAGAACACGTCTCGCCTATTTTTCTGGTTCTCAAAGCACTTGTTGTGGAAACAATTTCAAAAATGAAATAGATTTCGTATTAGAAATTGATTGCTGAAGAGAATGAAAATGTTTTAAAAACAATTGTAAAACAAAAAGGTTAGAACATAATGTGGCACAGATATCAAACTTGGGTTGTGAATGAAATCTCAGTAGAAATCAATCACACACAAAAAGTGGTCACGTCTAGCATTCTTCCCTACTCCTAATTATGTGTCTTTTGATGGGAATCTATTGCGATCATGGATAGACGAATTGGGATGAATTTGGGAGACTCGTTTTCGTTTAGGGTTAATACAACAGGAAAAATAAAGTATATAATATGAATAATTGCTGCGCAGACAGAATATGAAGGCAGAAAAATGTGGTGCTTTCATCTGTCAGAAACATGAAAAGGACGTAGGATTTTCTTTAGAGATTAAAACTATGACATGAGCATCTTCGCAAATAAATGAATCAAAGAAACAAGGTACTGACTGAAAAATAGAAGACCGGCAAATGCACCAGCAGATGAGGAGTAGACGAAGCGACGGACAGTGAGATCAAGGCAGGCGTCCCATTTGGCATCGAGGTCATGCTTTGGGGGAATGATTTGCTTGTCAGCCATTGTAGTTGTAGGGCGAGAACCACCTCTGATTTTTTTCTTTTCTTTTTTCTTTTTTTATCAAACAACTTGGTTCTGGTCTGGTGATACTTTTTTTAGCTGACTCTGGGTGCTCTTCTATTTGTTCCCAAAATTTATATGTTTTTGGGTTCGGGTGGGTTGCATTTCTATTTTCGATTCCTAATTTGGGCATTTTTGGTGAACAGGGCTTGCCCTTTATCGTTTAGGCTTATGCTATTTACACCGTCCAATTTACTAACAACATTGTCTTCAATTTCCTTTAGGAGTATAAATTTATCTGACAACTTTTTTTTTTCAAATGATTTTTTATTAGTCTAGTCAATAAGGTAGTAAGTCAAACCGTGAATTTTTTTCATAAATAATACTATTTTAAAAAATATTTTCCAAAATAGCATATCTGGAACATTATTTACGCAACTAGCACTCTTTACTGTTCATTGTATTCTTGCTCAAGTGAGAAATTCATCGCTTGAGCGAGGAGACCTGGAACTTAAGGGTTTTGTGGGGTTTAAGTTCGCTCAAGCGATATAATTCTCGCTCGAGCAAGAAGTTCTCTTGCTCGAGCGAGAAACCCTTCGCTTGAGCGATGAGACCTGAAACTAATGAGTAATCTCGGGTGTTTTTTTGCTCAAACGATGGGTAATTTTGTTCGAGCGAGAACTGATTGAAATATGTGGTGACTCAAGTTGCATTATCTGGCTAACTGCGTTGGACCTTTAGCATGTGGTCAATTCTCGCTCAAGCGATGAATAATTTCGCTCGAGCGAGAAGTGATTGGCTAAGTTAACGCCTGTGGTGAATTCTCGCTCAAGCGAGAAATTCATCGGTTGAGCAAGGAGACCTAAAACTAATGGGTAATCTCGGGTTAATTCTCACTCAAGCGATGGGTAATTTCGCTCGAACAAGAAGTGATTGAAATATGTGGTGACTCCAGTTTCATTATGTGGCTAACTGCGTTGGAGTTTTAGCCTGTGGTCAACCCTCGCTCAAGCGAGAAATCCATCACTTGAGCGAGGAAACCTACAACTATTTTTTACATAATTAATAATTTAAAAAAATATTTCCCAAAATAGCACCTCCCAATATAATTTCTAACGCACACAAGTCAGAAATTCAATGCTAAGTCATCCACCCATGTCAGGATTCTCATGTCTTTCTGATGCACACAAGCCAGGAATCCAATATTGAGTCGCTCACCCAATTCAGGATTCCAATCTTGGATTCCCTACATTGGGTTAAACAAAAGCAGAAGAATCCAAAAACATTTAAAGAGATGCTGACCCACCCACTTTGCTTGGGTTTTGTGTGCGTCAGAAGCCATGTGATGGAGCCTTGGATTCAAACCATTAGACTTCATTATAAATAGACTACTTTCATTCTTTGAAGTTCTCACATTGCACACTCCTAAATCTCTGAAGCTCTTTCCATTCTTTCTTCTTCTTACCTTTAGTCTTCTTTTTGTTTCACACTCCTAAAATGGGTGTAGTGTCTACTATTGTTCACTATGATGGTTCCATGAACCCATGTCCCATGGAGGGAGTTACATTCAAGAGAGGAATTTCTCTACAAAGGTTGAAGAAGTTGATCCACAGGAAATTAGAGAAAGAACCTCACGAAAATGTAGCATTCCTCCATTTTTGCCGCCCAACTAGATTCGGAGTTGAGATCAACAACTTCATTGCTGTTGAAAAAAATTAGAAATTATGAATATTAACCTGCTCAATCTAATTTTTATATACAGTTAATTTGGATTAAAATCAATTTAATTTATTATTAAGTTCTTAATTAAAATCAATAAGTAAAATTAGAAGACTTTTTTTCATAAATAATACTCTTTTTAAAAATATTTTCCAAAATAGCACATCTGGAACATTATTTACACAACTAGCACTGTTTACTGTTCACGTATTAAAATAATCGATTATTTTATATTATGATCGATTATTTAGAGCAATCAATTCCCGCTCAAGCGAATAAACCCTTCGCTTGAGCGAGAAAATATGTAACAAAGGGGTAATCTCGGGTCAAGTCTCGCTCAGGCGAAGAAACCCTTCGCTTGAGCGAGAAAATCTGTAACAAAGGGATAATCTCCGGTCAATTCTCGCTCAAACAAAGGGGTAACTACTTCCTTGTTTTCCATATTATCCCTTTTTTTCATTTTATTGTTTTCTCTTAATAATGATGTTTTTACTTTTCTTGTTAATGAATATATTGATCATTATAGGAAATGGCGAACGGTCCATGCCAGAAGGAGATGGTACTAGAGAGAACAATTCTGCTGATGGTAACAAATCAGATAGCAACCCTGAGAAATGTCATCATACTAGTGTGGATTGGCGTGAGTTCAGGGCAAAGCTATATAGAGATGAGCTGGTGCTGCATTCGTTCCTAAATGGGATCTATATCTAGCTCTTGCATGCCATTTTTAAGTGGAAGGGGTCAATTTTATGAATCTTTTTATTTTTTTGTAAGCACCAATTTCATGAATCTTGAAATAGTGTTGTTTCAAAACATCTATTAGAGTTATACCTGTGCTTTTTTTCAGTCATAGAACCATGTTTGATAGTTTCAAAATCATCTCCTCTTGATGGATTTGTCATCCATCTAGGACACTTGGTTAAGTCAGAACTTTCCTACACCTTTTCTGTTAACTAATGATTTATATTGGTAACCAGGTTTTAAGCCCTACAGACTTGATTAATACCCTTTTATGAGTATCCTTTTTTACTTTTTGCAATACTTCTAGTTATTGATGTGGACGCAATCATTTATGATGGAGCATATCTAAGCAATACACTGATTGAGTTAGACATTATATTTAATTAACTGGTTTTCTTTACTTCATTATAGCAGAAAGAAATATCAGATACGGACATGCATAATCATAGTGGAGCATTGCCCAATTCCAATCCTCTTGGAACACAGTGGGCTCATCCTATTCCAGTGCCTGAGACTGGTTGCGTACTTTGATAGAAAAGTAGTTTTAGATCAAGATGGGGGGGTGAATTGATCTTTGAAAGTTTTTCGCAAATAACAGATTATCTAATTCGAAAATTAAGTTTAAAGATCTGTTCTTGAATCTCAAAGCAATCAATCAAAATAATGCAGCAACAGAATTTAAAGGAGAGAAAGGTTAAGAAAGATATCACCGGTATTTTATACTGGTTCACCCAATACCAGGGCTACGTCCAGTCTCCAGCCAAATTCCAGCTGGGTTCCACTAGATCAAATGTTTTACAGATTTACAATCTTACACTTAATCTACAACAAGAACCAAATTCCAGTTCCTGCACTCAACCTCTCACCAAGAACCAAATTCCAGTTCTTGATAACCTCTACAACCAAATTCCAGCTGCAGAGAAACCAGTGCCCAAATTCCAGGCACCAACACCTAACCTTTCACCAAGAACCAAATTCCAGTTCTTGATAACCTCTACAACCAAATTCCAGCTGCAGAGAAACCAGTGCCCAAATTCCAGGCACAACACAATACAAAAGAATGAAAAAGAATTGACAAAGAAGAAACTAGAAAGCTCAAACCAGTTTATCCAAATCTGCAGAGAGTTTCTTCTTCAAAAGTATGCAAGTTGCCTCAAGAAAGATTTTCAAAAGAACTTCTAAAAACTGTTGCGAATCTTTCTTGAAAAAGTGTGCTAAAGTTGCTTGAGTGATTGCTTAATGATGTGTAAAAACTGATGTTCAATGTATGTTTAAAAAGTTCAAGCCAAACTGTTTTTAAAGAGTATTTTCAAAACTGCTGCATTAATTAATCTGTTAAAAGTTTGTTTTAATCTGTTGAAATAGCCGTTTCAATCTGTTAAAAGTCCTTTCAATCCATTAATGCGTTCTTGATTCTTTAACAGATTTGTTTTAGCTGATACGATAATGTTTATATCAGTTAAAACATTTTACAAAACTTTTCTAAGTTTGATTCAATCGATTATTTCGTATTTTAATCGATTGATATACTGTAAAACCCTCTTATAAAACTTTTCAAGTTGTTTTAACTGATAAAAAGAAGTTTTAATCGATTAAAACTCTGTACAAAATTTTTCCAAGTTGTTTTAATCGGTTGAAATGGGTTTTAATCGATTGAAACATATATGATCGGTCATAATTAAATTCTGATCGATCATAAAATCTCTGATCGGTCGTAACTGTATTCTGATCGATCATTCTGACCCTTTAAGTAATTATAATCGATTGAAACGTGTTTTAATGGATTGAAAATATTCTGATCGCTCATAATTCATATCTGATCGATCACATCTGATTCCGATCGGTCATCTTTTTATTCTGATCGCTCATAATGGGTTCTAAATGGTTTTAATCGATTAAAAGCAATTTGTATCGATTAAAATACTGTAAAAACACTTCTTTGAACATTTTAAGTGATTTTAATCGGTTCTTTTAAAACTTTATCAGTTAAACACATTATTAAGCAAGGTTTTGTCAAAATGCTTTGTTTTTAATTGTTTAAAACGATTTTAGAGGCATTTTGCAAAATCATTTAAGTTCATGCAGCAGAAAAGATAAAGTGGTTTTACCTAAGCATTCTGTTAGACACACTAATCCTCTAACTCTTTTATCTGAGTGACTAGTTGACCGCTGCAAAGTAGCTTTTTGACTGCATCTTTGACTTCATCAAATCAATGAGATCTTTGCCAAAGTATTTCACTAAGATCTTCATCACTTTCATACTTGTGGCTACGGAAAAGCTTGATGGTGTTCGCACTTTTGAAAGAACTGTTATTCTCCTTCTCAGATCCGGAACTAGACATCACCAAGGAGGACCTTTTGGAATTGTCATCAACCGTCCTCTTCACAAAAAAATCAAACACATGAAACCTACAAATCATGATCTATTAACTACGTTCTCTGATTGTTCTCTGCATTTTGGTGGACCTCTTGAGGCAAGCATGGTTTTATTGAAAACAGAGGAAAAGATGAAGCTTCCTGGATTTGAAGAGGTAATCCCTGGG